GAGGACCCGGTGCAGCGGGAGATCCACCAGGACTGGGCCAACCGCGAGTACATCGAGGTGATCACCAGCTCCATCAAGAAGATCGCGGACTTCCTCAACTCGTTCGGTGAGGGCGCGGGGCGGCGGCTGCGGGCGGGCCGGGCAGGGTTGTGAGGGGGCCCGCGGTGTCTCACTGCCGCCTCCYCGCAGACATGTCGTGCCGGTCCCGGCTGGCCACTCTGAACGAGAAGCTGACGGCGCTGGAGCGGAGAATCGAGTACATCGAGGCCCGGGTGAGCAGCGGGGCGGTGGGCCGGGTGCGGGCCGGGCCCGGGGCCGGCCCTGGCTGAGGCATTTCCTTTTCCCGTAGGTCACCAAGGGGGAGACGCTGACATAGGCCCTGGGCGGCCCCGGCCCCCGCCGCCGGAGCACCGCCGCCCCGCATCCTGCTCGGGGCCCGCCGCCACCGCCGCCGCCTCTGCTCGTGTTGCCAATAAACCGCTGTGCTCCTGCCCTGCCTGCTCTCTGCCTGCCTGCCTGGGGCTGGGCCGCGGGATGCCCGGCTCCCTGCCACCGTCCTGGATGTCCAGAGCCTGCCCTTCCATCTGCCTGACCCTCGGGGTTTGGGCACACATTCCTCCCCGCACATGGGGCTGTGCCACAAGGGCCACGGGCCAGGCTGTTGTCAGCTCTTGGAGGCACYTGACCAGCCTTTGGGGTGCTTTGTGCTCCTACTGGGGTCCCAGCAGAAAATCTAGTGCTCCCTGTGGTTTGGAGGGTGTCTCAGCCTTCACATGTASATGTGTTAGAGCAGTGTGGTGACAGCAGGCTCACCTGGTGTGGTGCACATGCCACAAGAGAGGGCCCTTTGCCAGTACCGGGGAAGAGGTGCTTATCCTCYTCTCTGAGAGGCAAGTGGCAAGGAGAAGGAAGTCTCTCAGCCCTTCCCACCACTCCTCTATTTATCCCAGTTTTTTCAGTGGGCATCTYGACCTGCAGATTCATTGCTCACATTTAGTGTTTGTTGGGGAGTCCATGGAGTTGGTATCAACAAAGRTTTTATTGCTTCCCAGCAGACTTTAAATGTCTTGGTGTATTCTCCAACTGTAATCTTAGCTTTTTCACGATGGCAGTGTAATGCCTGCAGTGTTTACTAAGCACCTGGGTAACTTAATGTTCATGTTTTTGAGGCTGACATCAGCTGGTTCCTTGCTGACGTAGATCCTCCTCAAAGCTCACAGTTTTGTTCTCCATGGGAATCTGTTTTTCATTGTTTGAATAAGTGTTCCTCCAGCCTCTCCCTCAGCTCTTGTAGTGGTTACTGTGAGGTTGGGCTGCACATCAGGGAGGCTTGGCTGCTTTTGGGGCATAGTATCTGTGGAAATAAGTACTTTATAGCAGCCCTGCAGTGGAGTGGAACAGCCATGGATCACTGCACTTAGGTGTAGGGGGGATACCAAATTAGAATGCAGTCATACAAGATTGATAGATGGAGGGAAAGCAGCTCTCTCTTGGCTCCAAGGCAGCTGCTCTGTAGCTCAGGTACATCAGAAGTACTGCTGTGGCCCATGCATTGCTTACTGTGGACTTGCTGTAGTGGAGCCCTGAGATCTCTGTCCTTGGAGATAACATTACTTACCTGAACTGAACTGATCTGACTTTGAAATTGGCCTTGCTTTGGATGGGAGGGAGGTGAGGCAGAGACCACCAGAGGTTCTTGCCTAAATTGTGCTAAGATTCTTCAGTCCAAAGACTGAATAGGAGACAGGGTACCACAAACATCCCTGGGGCTGGGGCTGCACTGGGCTGACCTCATAACTCAAGATCCATTGCTTGTTCCCAGCTAGTAGTGTGGTGTTTCTCAGATCCCTTCCAGTTTSCTGACTGGCTGTTGTAATGTCTCTTTTTCCTCTGATACCAGGATTTTGCAAAGGAGTAGGTTTTGCCACACAGTTGGTGGGATCTGCTGGAAGGTACCAGTTCTCCCAGGATTTGTGCTCTCAGAGAGCTTCAGCACAGCTAGTCCGGTTCATGTCCCAGCAGGGGTGCTGGGGTGCTCACTGCAGTACAGAGTTCTGCCCTTTTTCTTTCAAGGAGTCTTAAAAGTTCCCTAAGGAACCAGCCATTCTGCTTGGGTGCTGCTTATTCCAGGCCATGTCTGGGAGGTGGAGAAACCTCTTGGTCCTCAGGCTGATACAGCTTCTTCCAGCAGCTGCTGTGGTGTCCAGCCTTGTAATAGATGGAACTTTGACACATTTCATTATTTTAAATACTGGGGAATTCTGTTTGCCTTTTTTTTCCGTTGTACTGTATTTTGGTTTTTTGTTTTTTTTTCAGAATATGATGCCCCAGGAACCTACATTAAACTTTTCTGGAGTGGATTTGTGTATTCTAATTTAGAAGACTGATTTATGTGGTGTGTTGGTGGTACTGTTCTTCCCATCACACATWTAATAGCAGGACATGACAATGTCCTCTGTGTCCTCACAGCATGCTGTCCTCATGTCCTGMGAGGGGTTGGTGCTCTGCATATGGTCAGCAGATGGTTTCCCAGAGCCTGAACTGCTGAGAAGCTGGTTTGAAGCCCCTTAGGAAAGTACCAGAATTGCTCTAGAGAACCTGAGCCAATCTGTAGGTTTAAGAAAGGTTGGCACTCTCAATGACAGACACTGGGCYTGTAGTCCCCCACTGTCTGCTGGACAGGCAGCCAGGTCTCATGGAGCAATTGGAGCAGTCCAGCAGTCATCAATGGTCCTCTGAGGTTTGGGAACAAGTAGCAGTGTTTTGATCTGGGTGGGAGACAAGATGTGTTGGCTTCACCCTTTGTGTGGTGTCAGCAGAAGAGGGAGCTAGAGCTTGATTCAAGCTTTGCATTGCCCAAAAAGATTATTGTCTGATCTAAAGCACATCTTTTAAGATGAATGGATTGGACCACACTCCTCAAATAGTTCTAGCTTTTAACAAATACCTTTAGGGCTCTCTCAGTGCCTACTGCAAGCAGAGCCTTGATTTCTGAAAACAGTTTTAAAGTCAAATCTACCTTCATCCTTTATGTTGCAGGTGATTTATAATAATTCAGTGAGCTGAGGTGATCTCCAGAGAGGAATGTGTTAGGACACAGCTGAGTTGTTGAGGGAGAGCTGCACTTTGACCCTAAGAGCTTTACAAGGCTGAATTTTAAAGATCTCAGGAGAAGGTGTCTGCTTACATCCTGGTGTCAAGGCACCAGCAGCAGTGGATGTCATTTGAGTTGTTTCACAAAGAGAAGATTGGCCCTTCCAGCCTGGGATTGCTGCTGTTCTCCAGGTCAGTGAGATGGGAAGGTCACAGGAGTAAGGGAGGGCTYCAGATTCATTGAGGTTTTGTGTCCCATTTCCAAAGCTGCCAGCAGTACTGCTGTGAGCTCTGCAGAGCGTGAGTACCTGGGACTTGGCCCTAGAGCACATAAAACCTTTATGGTGGATGTACCATGAGCTCACCTTTCTACTCACCTTCCCTGTCMCTCCCTCCCTGTGCAGTCTGACAGCCTGTGTGTTTTCACTTTATATCAYAGAAATGTGAAGCCAGTAGTTGACAGAATGCTCCTTTTGGGGGAGGAGAGGATTATCACTGGGTATGTCCTGAAGCAAAAGTTTGACAATAATATTCTGGGGAAACAATGGATAGATCAAACTGAGTCYTGCTGACTTCAGAGTCCCGACCTGTGGTAGATCTGAGGTTTGCCTTGGCTGGGGGATGCTCCAGCCAATGTGGTCAGTGCTGCACAGAGCTGCTGGCCCASCCCCTCTGACTCTTGCTGTGTTGCCCCTCTGCCAGCAGGTAACCCCACCAGGTAACCAACCCATGCCTTGCTACTTCTCTGTAGACTTTTCTGCTTCCCAGTCTTGCCATCTCCTGGCAGGTACATTGCTGACAAAGCAGCTGTGGGGACAGGTCTCAGCCTGCCTTGCTGACAGGGTTACAAAATGGATTATAGGACCAAACCCATTCCACAAAATGTCAGGATGAAATATYGAAATCCTTGGTGTTGCCTGTGTGCTTAAGAGTGCTGAGGAAAAGGGCTTTAATCAAGAGGAAGAATGAGCTGAAGCAGGGAATTGTCCCTCAGGCTCCTTGTGCTTCCCAGGGAGCATGTGTACTCTCCTACCTGTGGCTGTGCTTCCATGGGGCACTTCCAGCCATATTGCTAGGCCAGAAGACTGGGGATGGGAAGGGAGCCCAGGGAACTGGGAGATCATGGAAGAGGAGAGGAGCAGATATTGAGCAGGTTTGTTTGTAGGTTGCTTCTGGAAGCAGTTCTCTAGTCAGGGCMGTGGATGGAGAAACTATCAGACCACATGTTGATCCCTGTGTTTGCTGCAGCACTTGGCTCAGCCAGGCTAGAGGCTGGGAATAGCTCACTGTTCCCTACTTCTCTGGCAGCCAGCAGCCTGCTCTTTATGGCCTTGTGCTTGGTGTTGGGGCTGTACTGTCCATTCCACTGACAGGCCTGGGCTTTAGCAGCCAGACTGGAACTGGAAAACTKCTCTTGCAGCTGAAGTGGAAAGACCAGCAACCAATGCCCCAGGTGTCATTCTCCCTTGTCTTGCAGAGCTGCATGCCTCAGAGTGAATTCGTGAGCCTGCAATGTGCTAACCATAACAAAGAGAAGTTCTTATAGTGAGAGAACATTTCCATCATTGCCTGTAGCCAGTAAGGGGAGGATTTTGTGCTTGTCTTAGTACTGGAATCACTCACTCTTCAGCCTCATGAGGTGTTGATCAGTGCCTGAGGAGGTCAGTAATCCTCCAGGACGTGACTGATAACATCCTGGCCTTTGATTTAGCCTGCTCAAACAGGCCTAGTTCTTAAATGTAACAGGCTTTAGCAAAAATTCTGCTGTGGTAATTTAAATATTAATSCAATTCTTTATTATGGCAAGTAATTTCATAGAAGGGTACAGAATGAGGAAAAAATTTCCAGAAGATCTTAATAACATACAATATGCCACTCTCATATGATTCCACAAAAGCTTTCATGGCTAAACCTCAGGGTTCCTCCCAACCCAAGGCAAACAGCTGCTTTCTTATGATCTCCACATAACAGGGTGTTACTGGTCTGGAAGGTTAGAGAGTGGGTTGTTTCTTTTTTCTTAAAAGTCTCATAGTCTAAAACCAGAAAGGTTGCTGTAAACTACCTGTAGCCTGCAAAAYGCAGCTGACAGTAAGGCATAATCCCCCTGCAGTTACCTGTGCTTCAGAGCTCACAATTGTTGAAGCAGACTTAATTTAAAGGAAAATAAGTAGCAGCTAGGTAAATGCACAAGAGGGACTAATTTAACCAACCTGGTGGATAAAAGTCAGGGTAGGGCAAGAGGTGTTATGGGAATGTTTTCATCTGTCAGAAATGTGATGACTTAATGAGCAATTACTACTCTATGTACCGTCACTGGGCCCCTCCTACACTCACTTAGGAGWATTTCTACATTTCTCATGCACCCTGCCTGTGTGACAAATCCTCACACACACTGCACCCAATTAGTGTCAAGCATAAGAGCTGCTCTGCCTGGGTTTCACCTCTTTAAAGCCCTCCTGGAAGCAATTTTCCCAGCACACAAAGAATAAATCACCRTTCTCCTAACTCTCAGAGGATGGTTCCCTAATAAGGGCCAAGTAAATGGAATGGAATGGAATACATGATAAAGCATTCTAATTCATTAGATAATATTCCCAGCAGTATATTCAGAGTATTGCACTGCTTTAATTGTTCAATGTTACATRTAATTAAAAATGTCAGGGTAGGTGAGGCAAGGCACTTGAATAGGCCCTTATATAAAAGTAGTGGAACACCTTGCTTAAAAAAACCTAAAACCCAATCCTTCCCTCCTTTGAAAAATTATAAAAYCCCCAGCCAACAGGAACAAACAAAACAACCAAACCAACTGGAAAAGAAAGATCAATGGACGCCTACTACAGTRAATATAATTTACTTTACCTGTGTCCCAGTCTCTCCAGAAGCATCAGAGGATGAAGAAGTGTGAGGAGAGGAGAGGGAGGGTAAACAAGTACTCCTGGGGCATCAACTGCACAACAGRGTGAAGCTGTTAGCTGAATTTGACAAATGATTTACATGGCCACACCTTGTGTAATCAATAGCTCTTGTGCTGTTGGAATGTCCCAAGGAGTCTCMTTTGAATCTAGCTGTCACTCCTCACACATTTTCAGGTGACCAACATCTGCTGCCTTCTGCTCTGGTGGACCAGAGGGATCTGCCCCCTCCTTTCCTACTCTCATGTTGCCTTCTGAGGGCTGGCTGAGTAAGAAACCATCACCTGGCTGTGAAGGAGCAGCTGCCCTGAACAGAAAAAACAGCCCTGGAGTGGCTCCAGATAACTCTTGTGCTGGAGAAGTGATTTGTCAGAGGTGGCTGGGAAGGGCTGGAGGGGAGCACTGGTGAGCTTACAGTGGGTATAGGATGAGCAGAATCAGAGGATTTGTTTTGCCAGCGCCGTCTGAGGCTGCTGCGAATAGGGTGGGTAGAGGGCACCTTTCCCTTCCCTGTCATTGACACAGCTGCACAGGYATTCCACCTCTGCCTCCTTGGGATGCCCTGAGCACCAAGGCTGCATGTCTGGCCTTCTAAACCCCCATCGTGGTCCCTGCTCAAGCCCAGGGCTTCTCCCCTCAGAGCAGGTTCTGCATCCCCAGTGCTCTCTTCATGTTGCACGGAGGCCCTGGGGCTCCAGCCTGAGGGGGGCTCTGCTGAAGAGCAGGAGTGAGGGGTCCTGGCTGCTCAGGGCTACCAAGGGCCATCAGTGCCTGMGACACGCTGGGAGCTGCCCAGCTCGTCTCCATGCCGGGAGCTCGGTCCTTGGCCAGCTTCCCTAGATCTTGGGGAGATGGGAGCACATGTCTGGGAAGTGACCTCTGTAGCCAGAGGATGACGGCGGAGCTGCCGTCTGCTCACCTCGTGAGTCAGGGGAGGCCACGTGAGGCCCCAGCCCCAACGCCTTCCCACCCACCTGCCAGCATAAGGCAGAGCTGGCACTGGGATCCCTGACCTGGCATCCTGAACCACCACACAGCCTYGCAGGTGAGTGCAGGGGAGGGGTTCAGGAGCTTCTTGGGGCCAAGCCTGAGGGTGTTTGGGGCTGTGTACAGGCTCTCGGTACACTGCTGGGTTGTTRGTTACTGTCTGAGACATCAAAACACTGTTTTTACAGAAACAGGTTCTGATTCTGTGGGGGTTACAGAACTTCCCTWTAACCTCTCCTCTTGACTCGAGTCTTTCTGACTCAGCTTCCTCATCTTTTAAATATTTTTTTTCTAGAGTCCTCACAGCAAGCCTTATGCTTTATGCGTAGAGAAAGATTTGTTTGCCTTAATTTTGCTTAGACTACAAGCATGAACTTTTCTGTCTTCTGATCAGCTCATTTTCTTCCTTCAGAGCTTTGCAATGATCACAGAGAGGCACATAGCGTGAAAGGACAAATACAAACRAAGTAATTTTAAATGCTGCACATAAATGCTTATGGCAGAGCTGGAAAACATACAGCAAGCCCCCCTGGGCTTACAGGTGTGGGGCTGGCAGCAGTGCATTCTTCGTGTCCGGGCTTGCTGTGAAAGCCAGGAGAAGAAGGAAGTGCTGGAGCTGCAGCAAGGAGTAGATGGGCTGTGCCTGCTCCTGCTCACCACCATGGGGCCAGTCAGAGTGAGCCTAGGGAGCTCCTCTTCCTGTCATGACACATGCTTGCTGGGTCYCTCTACACGCCTGGGTTCAAGGAGAGCGGAAAGTCTGAATTTTGCTGTTTCTGTGTCACATTTCAGCTATATTTGACAACAGGAATGCAAGCAGAAGGGTAGCAGAATTACTACCTCACTGGTGGCACAGCCCAAAGAAACTGGAGTAAGTCCAAACTGAGCTGGTGTGGTTCACTTTTTGTTGTCTCGCTGGAAGAAACTCGGCTTTCACCACGGCCACAGCCCTTCAGGACGTCTTTCTGTGGAACCAACTGCTAGGACCAGCCTAAGACAAGCAGGTGTGTTTTAAGAACTYSGTTTGGTTTGGTTTGGGTTTGGTTTGAGAAAAGGGCATTGAGGGACAATGTTTAAAATAAAATTAGCAAGATTATGTGTCAGCATACAACTTAAAATGAAAGATAAAAGTGGTTTCAAAGGGAAAAGGTTTAGGATTGTCTAATTTTTGTCTTGAAGTCCAAACAATCTTATTTCTCTTTATTTGCATTTTTTGTTGTTTTCCCATTGAGCAATTTCCCTCATATATTTCATCAGCTAAGCAAAATATTGTTGTGTGTGGAAGTTGTTAGCCTCGCTTTCTAAATCTGACTCTGCACACAGATTTATTCTAACATGTTAAAAAGACCTCACTGCAATTAAATTCTAATTTACTGTGGGGAAAGCAAGGTGAGGTCTGCTGTTCACGTCGTTCCCCAATGAGCTCATGGCCAAGCTGAAATGTCTGTACATCATCATCCCTCTCTCATTRTGAGGTATAATCAACTAAGTCACTTTGAAAACATACAATAATTAAGCACCTATACTTATCCTTTGTTTAGATCTGATTTTCTTTCCAGAAGAGCCACAAGGGAATTAATTGTGCATAGTCTAGGAGAAATTAGGTACCCAGCTTCCTTGGTTATGTAAATCTTGGTGACTGACAGGGCTGAGCTGTGCTGGAGGCACAGAAAGGGAGATGGGAGCGGATGCCGGCTGCTCCTGGATCCTCCTGCGGCATCCAGGTCTTTCCACAGGGGGATRCAAAAGTGCAACTGTGTTTCTGTTGCTGGAACAGTCTGGTTGTTTGGGCCAGACTGCAAATGAGCAGTTTTGAAGTAAATCAGTCTGATAGCAGATGAGGATGAGGATGACARTGTCTGCTCTGCCTTCAGTGTTGAATCTGCTCTTCCTGTGTGAGTGGCAGGACAGGCTGGGTGGTGCCCATCCACTCACTTTGGGATGATGTAAAGCTGGGATAGGACAGCTACTGTGCTAAGTTCCTGTCAGGGGAAGAGAAACCWGTCTTAAAATGCCACTGAAAGTAGCTTGCACTGGTTATTAGGAACCCCAGAGACAAACCTGCTGAATTTCACTCAACAGTAAAATATCTGAATATTTATAAAGCCTTTTTTGAAATGGAATTGATCAGTCAGAAAAAAAAAAAAAGTGTATTTAAAGTACTTTTGTTCCGTTAGGTCTGGTATTTCAACTGTGCAGTCCAGAGAGAGGTTTAAAGATATAGCTTAAACTTGCAGCTATTGCAAGGTCTAAGCTGAGCAAATAGGAAGGCAAGGAAGAGACTGAAAAAGGCAAAAAACCATACCTGGAGATAGATAAATGCATAGAACTGACATTCCTTATTGAGTGGCCAAGAACAAGTCTGTCCAGGGCRTGGTGTGCTGAGTTTTTACATTTCAACGTCAGCTGGTAACTTACCCAGCAGAAGGGACAGATGCATTTTCTACATTCCCTATCAGGTGCCCACAGTCTCACAGCTCCCACAGCTACAGCAACAAAGGCTGGATGTAAGTCAGGGAAGGGGGTTATCTGCCACAGRTTTTTCTCTGGAAAATTTAAAGGATATACTTAGTTTTCAAACTGCTTGATTGGAAGTGTTTTGAATGGAATTAAATTGTAAGAAAATGTGTGGATGTATAAGCTGTTTTCCTCTTGCATCCTGCATAGTGGAAATGGCTTCAGGAGCCCCAAAAGTCTTCTACATTTCTCAGTACAGCTGTGGGTTAGTTGCAATATTGCACAAGGGGAAATGCATCAGTGTAGGATGCTGGACCATGGCAGGCAGAGATAACAATTCAGAACCACAGCCACCACAAAATGTGCACCATCAGAACATTCCAGCCTCAGCCCAAAACTTCCATGGCGAGTTTATCAAAACAAAAAGAAACACTGAATTTTGGGGATATCAGAATGTTTGTTTCTATGGAAATACCAGTAATTAATCTGGGATCAACACTTAAAAATTTGTAATTCATAAAGCTAAAGTTAGTAGAAATTTCCTTTACAACTTGGGAAGAACAGATGTTGAAGCATCAATGTCTTCTGTGAGACAAGAATTAAAAGTTTTGTGGGACTTTCCTAGGAAGAATTTTTGCTATTTTTCCTGTCTGACACATATGAAGTATTAGCATGTTAAAGGTACAGGATAATTGTTTTATTTCGTGAATGGAACAGGGCCTATTAGATTACTCAYATCTGTGATAAATAGTTAATTAGACACCATGGTAGCTTTACAAAACAACAATGTGAATGATCAAGTCTGACTTCTTTTTGTTTTACTCATGATGATCAGACTTTTGCTCTTTCCTAAGAACCAAAGTCCAGTAGGACTCACTCAGAGGAGTCAGGAATTGGGTGTCAGGTGAATGAATCATAATGTGAAACAGAGAAGTAATTTCAAAACTGAAAGGACCAGATAGAGACGCTGTGTTTGCAGAAAATCAAAGGCAGAAAACCAGGAAGGTCAGTGACAGGATTCTAAATGTGCTTTTTCTCCCCTTTCAGACAGGCACAGCAATGGAGAACTTGGATGTCCCTATCCCAGATCTTACTGAAGAACAGCAAGGTGAGGGAAGCACCCAGGTTTTGGCTTATGCACACTACACAGCAGTGTTTGCCAGGGTGGGCATGAGTCAAGGAAATTTATTGCCGCTGAAAACACCCTATCCATCTCCTTGCTTGTAAGAGGGACCAGCAGTTATTTCCCAGCTCTTCCACTGGCTCCAGTTAGGCCTTGTATGCATGAAAGCAGGAATTTAAAAACGTGAAGGTTGTGCTTATCTATAAAACAGCATGGTCAGGATAAGTACCTGTTAAATAGCTAGGAATACTTTGGGAACACTTGCCATGCTTCTCTAACTGAGACAACAGCATCACAGAGGATTAAATMATTTGTATGGGCTATTGACATTTTTCTGCTGTTTTGTGGCAGATTGAGGTGCTTGATACAATATAGCACCACTCTTTTTCCTATATGCTGTTATTGGGCAATGTGTTAGAGCGTGGTGTCTCTCACCACACTTACACTGAGCACCACAGGAGCACTGCCATACAACCCCCCTCTACTGCTGCACAGTGACAGGTTTGTTTTCCTCACAGACATTTTCCAGAGGGTTTTTGCTGCTGATGCCAAGTACTTGGAGAATCATGAGAAAACAAACCAATCCTTCTGGGACTCTCTTGTAAGATGCTTGGCCACCACTGASCCACCAATCCTGAATACTGAAGAAAAGAACAATGTAAGTTACTAAAGAAACACTTACCCTTGCTATGCAAATACTTTTCTACTATAAATTGGAGAGATCATATAGTCACATTATCTGATATGCGGAAATATATTAAAAGGTGTAACAGGGTACTTAGATAAATGTGGTTCAGGCCACTGCTTTTTACTTCATTGCTCTCCATGTGCAAAAATAACTGGCTTTGTATAAATTCCTCAAGATCAGTTCAGCTCACTATATTCCAGGCAGGACCATTGTTAGTGACATTTTGGTGTAAGATACTGCAGTGTTTGCACATCCATTTTCAGACCCTATAGATGTGTTTCTCCAGCTCTCTGAATAGTTAACTATTGCCAACTATTCTGTTTTTCCAGTTGATGGATCTGCTCTGAGTTGTTGAGTGGAATTTACGGTCTCTTCCCATCTTTGRCATTACTTTTTGTTCCCAATTTCCCCCTTCTATAAGTAGGTGCAGGGAGTTACATTTCCCACAGGGTGAGATTCCCTCATTTGCACATCAGGATGTTCTTCTACAGGCTGTGTTTTATTGGAAAGACTATTTACTATTTACTATTTACTTACCTTCTTTTCAGCTCCTCAACAGCTGCGATGCCCTCCCTGGAGGCTGTGCTGCCTGCCTAGAAGCTATAGAGAAGAAAGGAGTCAGGGCAATGGCTCTTCTTTACCTTTTGCTGAAGACATCCAACCCATCTGGGTACAGGCAGCTGCCCAGCTCAAAGGGAAAGGGTGAGTCCTACGTGTTTTCCTGTCAGCTGCTTTGTTAAAATTACTCCAGTGCCATTGGGACTTGACAGCAGCTTGAAAACTGCTATGTGCTTGGAAGTTAGTGAGCAACTGAAATGTCTGAAATACTGCTCAGGAAAGGCAATTAGGTAAGGTGGTAATGGGAGCTAAAGTTAGTATTTTACTGTAGTTTGACATGGCTTCTTCTGGGCAAAAAGAACACCTGCTTTTARGGAGAGAGGATGTCCTGGGATGATGTTGCCAAAGAAGTTTCTCTGACTTGRGAAAGTTTCCTCTGGCTTGGTGCTTCAGCTTTTTCATCTGTCTGGATTTATGACACATAGGACACTTTTTTGCATGGACTGTTATCCAGCCAGCCAGGAYCCCTCTGAGCTCTCACAGTGGTAAGAAATCAGAGCTGAACCACTGAAAATAGTTTTGCAAATGGCTCTAGCAGCACATATAGTAAAACCAAAAGGAAGGGATAGAGCATGGCACTCAGGTTTCTGGACCTGGCAGCAAAATAAAAATAGACTTATTTTTTTGGTTGTGCAGTAAGAAACTAAGGGTAGTTTCACAGGGTCTATAGTCACTTTAATAGATGATAGAGCTGCACTCACTTAAAAAGACCCTGAATTTAACTGCAGACTCTCAAGGACATCCTGTTCCTGCTTCTGCCTTGATTAGACATGTTCCCGAAGGGGAGAGACCTCCCAGCCCAGAGCACAGTCCAGTTTTGGTCATTTGTCAGAGTAGGAATGTTGGTAACAAGACCYCTTTCCTGCCCTTGGGCTGTGAACAGCCTCGAGTTGCTGGAGGGGAAGGAATTCCATCTACCTGCCTATACCCAAATRCTGCATCTCCTGATGAGGAGATGCTCAGAGCCCCGGCCCTGAGCTCAGCGCTGGGTGTGAAGCAGTTCAGAGTCACCTGCACCCTGGTCACACGGGCCAGGAGCGCTTTGCATCCTGGGCCCGGTCAGCCCGGGCAGGTGCCTCCCCAAGAGCTGCCTGTGAGGGCTGGTTCCTGTGCCACGAGAGGGAGCTGCAGCCTCGGCTTCGGCGCAGGGAGCCCTGGCAGAAGTCGCCCAGGGCAGGGTGAGCCATTCCTCTCCRGCTGAAACATCGTTCAGCTGCTGCTGCTACTGCTTCAGGGAGAGGGAGTTTGCACAGGGGTAGCATTATGAATAATTAAATGGCAGAATATGAAACTTAAGGAACTATTCACAACCATTTAAGAGACTCTAAACTGATGCTTTCATTTGATGCTTTGTCCTAAAATAAGTGTGCAAAAATAAGCTGAAATTAGACAACGGGTCTGATTTCCTGTCAGACCACCTTTAATAAAGCCTTATGAAATTTGTAATTGTAAAAGAGTGAAAATGCAGTCATTGATAATGTTTATTCTCTCTTTATAAAAAAGATGAAAAATTGAAACTCCTGAAGAGATTGGAAAGGAATTTTGTATTTTCAGAAGAAGAAAAAAAGTCTGAAAACTCATCCCATGAGTCCATGGATGAAGATGCACAAGGTAAAGAGGATTTCTTTTATTTTCCCTGATACCTAACTTAGTCTGACTGCATGTTTGTAAGGATTGACATAGGAGATGTGCAGCAATTCAGTGACAGTTCTGCAGAGCTCTGAATAAAGTAAGAAATTGCAAAAGAGAAAACACAGAAAATCATCAGTACCTGTTTCATTATCAGCAAAATAGTGRCTGCTTCCCACTCTTGAGGAGGTTGGTTTCAGAAACATAGAAGTCTGCTGCAAGATTCCTTCCCCAAATGAAAGATAATAAATTCTCACTATACCCCTTTATACAAGTTGCTCCATCTTCAGATTTGCTGTGTTCCACCTATTCAGCTTTGAAGAGAGCTGTGAGGCAAAAGCAGCTAAGAGTGATCCCTGTATTTCAAAGCCTTGATTTTTACCTTCATATGACTGTATTATGAGCAAACAACTACCGTGCTGTTGTTTCTGATGTTGCTGGCACATTTTTCTTTACTCTGATAAACAAACACTTTCTCTTATCCAGACAATGACGAGGAAGATTTCGCAAGACAGAAGACTGAAGGCCAGTTACTTGGAGGTAGGACAAAATGACAACAGTATTAGCTTTTACTAGAGGCAGCCAATATAAACCAAAAGGATAATTTTTTGCATTCGTTGTTTTGGCTGTTGAACGAAGGTATATTAACATACGTAGAAGAGTGACAAGTCGGAATTTGGCTGTAGGAAAGCCATTTCCTACAAGATGAAGCTCAACTAATGCTGACACTCAGCCATGCCCTGTGCTCAGAGTTGAGCCAGGAGAGCAGCAAAATCTGCTGTTGTGGGAGGAGTCCTTCTGCCTGGGTCTGCACATCTGCCACTRAAATGCAGCAAAAGGGTTCTGAAAACATCTGTCACAGCCACTGCTTACAGRATCTGCAGTCAGCCCACAGCTGAGATCAGTGAGGACCACCTTGTTCCTGAGGCTTTTGCTCCCAAAGGAAAAATGGAAAATAAGTACAATGCAGATGATGACAATGTGCTATGTCAATACACAGAAATAGCTATAGAACTATGGATGTAAAATATGTAAAGCTTTAATATTTTAATTAATATCTTAAACTGAGCTCAACCCAGATATAAGAGCAGCTCATTTAAATTGACATTAGGAGATCTAATCTGTCTCACAGGAMTCTGATTCTACCTGACTCCAGATACTTTGAGAAATGGGATATGGGGAGGGGTAATAATTCAGTAATTTCCCAGCTTTTTGATTGCATTACCCCTAGCAGAGCCACAGTCTCTAAGGAGTTAGAGTTGGTCTCTTCCTTGTCTCTGTTACCCACCTGCACCAATTTCAGGAGTTGCATGRGCTGGCAGTGGTGTCAGACACACACGCTCACTACAGGTGTTAACCTACCTTATCTCTGTGTTGTGTTTTAGGAATACCAGCAGAGGTGGTTCCCTACAGAGAATCAGGTAAGTGCTCCCAGGTCTCATCCTGCTGGAAGGATGACTATAACTGCAGTCTCTTCTTTCTGGCCTGCTGATATATTAAAAAACAACTTGCTGGCTRTAAATCCCTTGGTTTCCAGTTAGCYTGGCACTGGACCTGGACATGGTRCAGACATTCTGTTGCAAGGCTGTGSTAGTGGCTGGCTGACAGCAGGTGATTTGTACAAGGTGTTCCAGCAGATTAACCCATTTCTGTAGGCCTGCCAGGTTCTCACAAGATCAGTTCACAGCAGTCACCTTCCTTTTTTAGGGGAGAACCCAGCAATTCTATTGAGCAACCATTCAGTCTTAGCCACAAAAGCTAGAGACAGTTTTTAGAGTGAAGCCCTCTATCACTTGCTGAACAGGGGTGAAAGGTGGGAGAGACTTGGAATCTGGGTTTTACCAGCACTGAATGCTTGGCTCTGAATGCATTCCTGCCTTAGCTCACAGCATTTCCAGCAGGAGGTGCCAGGTGAAAACCAGATGTCAGGCAACAGAGCAACAGTGTCAGCCAAGAGGCTTGCACAGACAGGCAGTCTGAAGGCAGATTTCTTCCTACCAGACATGGCTGCACGGCTCCAGAATGTTTTTGAAAAGCCTATAGCAGGAAATTGCCAATGGCTTAAWTGCATTACTGGGCTCATCCCTCCTGTGCCCAGGCCAAGGCCACAAAATGAGTTAGAAGAGGCAAACAGCCCAGTGGGAGCAACCTTTTGAGAGGGCATCTACTCAATCTCTTCTGTTCTGTGCAGTGGAGAGGATATAAATTGCAGCATAAACCCTTGGGGAGGTTTTTGAGTTACCTGTCCCCAAGGAGCTATACAGAACACCAGRGCAAAGGGATCCATYGCAGTGCCATATTCTCCCCACAYTGGCTGACACAGAAAGGTATTGCARAATGGTACTTTTCCRCTTGCTATTTGGCATCACTGCCACTCACCCCAGGTTTTGTTGGAGATAGGTGGTTACTTGYTGTGCTTGTTAGTGCTGGATATGGTGGGAAGCTCTATATTTGTTTGTTTTTTTTTTATCAGAAGTAACAAAACCATATTTTTTTTTTCAGAGATTGCCAGAAGAGAAGATTCAGATGCAGATGGTGAGTACAAATATGCAAACCAAAGTTTATCTTACGCACGCTCTTTCAGGCCTGAGTTTTGCTTAGTGATGAGGGCAATATCAGCTCCTTGATGCCTAGAGATTGTCTAATCAAAAAGTAGAAGGCTGAAACCAGGTATTAACATGGAATGCTTTAATAAAAATACTGTGCAAGTCATTCCATGAAACAAAGTTAGGAAGTAGAGTAGGACAGGATAGACACTTGCCAAGTATGAATTGATGTTCTGCTAAATTATTTATCTATATATCATTCACACTTTAAACTCTTTAATTTCACAGTTCTATGGCAATAAAAGACATCTCTTTTTTTGTAGCATATGAGAAGGAGAGCACTCACCCCCCTCASTGGACAGTACGGTGGATGGGCATACGGAAGGATGGTAATGGATTTGTTACATCAAACTGATGTCAAACATGTTGAACCTTAGTCCAAGAATAAGACTTCTGGTTAAAAAAAAACCTTTATTTTTTCAACATGAGTACTTYGTTGAAGTGCATCAAGGCTTCTTGATGAAAATCAAGGTTTCTCATGTTTAGCCAAGTGCATGAGACAACTCAAGGAAATTGATTTAATTCCCTGAGTGGTACTCTGTATCTAAAGGTGGATTTGGAAGGGCTATGGCTGCAGTTCTGACCTAATCTTCCCTCTCAATTTCAGATGAATTCTTTCATTTTGTCATTCTTTGCTTTGCAATTGGAGCTTTACTAGTTTGCTACTACTACCACAAAGGTGAGGCAAGATTCAATRGAAGGATAATTTGTTGCATTTTAGAAAAATGAACAAAGCTAACATTTATTTTGTTGCCTTAGATTGGACTATTTCGCTCGGGATTGGTTTAATCACCTTTGCTTCCCTGGAAACCACTGGGATATACTTTGGTCTAGGTAAGTGTCCCTGCAGCAGCAACTCTGTCCCTGGGCTAAGGACAAGGTGACACAGCCACCACAGGGCCATAAACCTGCTGGGGCTGACATTCCATAACTCACCACATAACTCTCCCCCAACATCTCCCAATTACAGGGGGGCTGCAGACAGCAGCCTTAGCGCTGCTGAAGGGAGAAGTTRACTCATTTTTCCTGCTCAATGATCACAAGACCCTGAGTCACCTCTTTCTGCAGCAATGGCCGAATGCTGTGTTGCCATGACAACGTGTAATTTTAGCAGCAAGGCCCGTCTTYCCAGATACACTGGATAAGATGCTGTGCATTCTGGCTGCCATGCATTCCCCTGGGACTGAGGGTGAGCTCGGGGCAGAACTTGGATGGCAGCAGCTATTGGAAGTATTAAAACCTGGGCATTTTGGCAATCCCTAGGCATGGTGTAGGAGAGCTGCCAACAGCTGCAAGTTATGGCTCCTCAACTAAGAGCTTGTCTCCTCTAATCTCATGTTAACCTGGTGGAAGGTTGTGGATGGTTCTCTCATGACTCAGTCTGATCTTTGTTATTAATGATATTGCAGATGTGCTTGTTTAGACAAGTGTCAGTGTTTGGATTTTGCCATTTTTCTATTTTTTTATGTTTTATGTTGCTTATCTTACATTTTTGTTTTCACAGTGTACCGAATTCGGAGTGTCCTTAACAGCTTTATTCCTCTGATTGACAGATTCAGGCCAAGAGGTAATAGTCCTGTTTTTAATGACCACATCTGTCTTCCCTGGRGCTTCCTGGGTACTTTGGTTGGTCAAGAATTAAGACCAACTCATTTAAATGACAGTTTCCAATCTTACTGCCTTAAAAAGAATGGAATATTTTGCTACAGTTCATTACAGCTGCTTGGGCTTGAAAATGAATTAGTCTTGACTCTTGACCCTGTGGCAGAAAATTTTCACATTTTTAGTACTCCACCCTGTATGGGGTACTATTTCCTGGCACTGTTTGCATAAGAATTCTATAACTTAAAAACTCAGGGAGTCAAGGGAGGCTTCACTTGTTGGCTCTTCAGACAGACTCCAGGCTCACGTTTATCTATGTTTATGGACTCAAAATATGAGGACTGTTGGAAAGCTGCATGTATACAGGACAATCTGAACACAGCACTCCTGACAGCTGTCTTTTCCTTCATCCCACAGGTGTGAGAAAAGCTGCCTAGGAGGAGTATTTCAGGACAGTTCCCCAAACCTGGCTGTCCAGATTTTCAGTATTAAAGGAACTGCTTTATGAGGTGAACCTAACAACCAAAAGGCCAATGTGAAATACTGAAATGTGAAACTTTTGAAAAACATCACTCCTTTCCCTCAAAAATAAACCTGAAACCRGTGTACAGGGCCCCACTCTGGATTCCAAAGCGGTTTGTGGCTCAGCAGAGCTTGGAAGACAATCGAGATGTAGTTTTGTGTTTAATTCCATTTAAACATRAACACATTCACCTTCCCTCCCCTAGGCAGTCCTGTGGTGGTGCATTACTCATTTGTAACAAACCGTCATAGTCTGCCTGTGGTGTACCAAAATCAACAACAGACCAGTATTATCCTGTGCTGGTTCTTGCTTTGCTCTGGCTGTTTCTGTAGGAATTCTGGCCACCTCCTCCCCCACTCGCTGTGCTGCCCAGAGCAGGCAGAGGCCAGCACTGCTCTCCCAGCTGAGCCCCGGCAGTGGCGGCGCTGGGGCTGATGAATTGATTGTGGCAGAACTCGGAGCAGKGGGCGGGCAGCAGTTTCACCCGAGGAGGGCTGGGGAGATGTTACATACACTGACAGTGTGCTGCAGTAATGAGATTATTTACAACAGCAAATTTAGTCTTTTCTTGAGGGAAAAACAAAGTGCTCAATTTGATTCATTCCCCAACCTTTTTCTTTTTTTGAGTAAAATAAACATGGAACTTTGACATTCCTTTCAGTTTATTGGGATGTGTTACACATTGCAAGGATGTAGGGCTAATGCAATCACAGGAAGACTGCAACAAAAGGGGCTATCTTAAAATTTTTAGTAAAAATGTGAAGTCTTCATACCCACAGAATGATGAAGGCAACAAATTGAATAGAAAAAGCCATAAACRTGGACTTGTAAGGAAATATAAATCTGAAAGCTGTAAACCCAAACAGCTGAGAGATTTACAGGAACAATTTCAAGCCTTGCTCAGAAAATTAGAAAGGTTACWTTTCCTTGTACTTAATTTGAAGCACCAGTGTTGATCACTTTTGCCTGCAATTCCAGCTGCACTGCCAGAAACACCAACCATTGCACTCAGGCCTGCACCAGCACAGCACAGCTGCCACTCAACTCCTCAAGGGCTAAATTGTGCAAGAAGGATGAATAAAAGTTATTTAGTAGTATTTATATTCTCATTTTACATGTACTATTTGCCTGTCTTTGTAGGAATATTTCACCATCCCAGAATACTGTCTAGATTGTGTTAATCTGTGAATAAACTCTTGCTCAGACCACTGTAGCGATGTTAGTGGCAAATGGCTTTTGGGTGAACTGAAAACTGCAGAGTCACCCTGYTCTGATGAAAAGGTCTGTTTTAGTGTCCTCTGCTGTCTAATGCCTTTCTGAAAGGCAATCTGTGGAACTGTCAGGATGAGAAACATGTTCTTAATGTTTTAAATTTGGTACTCTGCAGTCAAAAATGAATTTTTAATGTTAACAGAAACTGCTTAGGGTAAAATAAGCAAAACATTTAGAAACAGCAAAACATTTAAAGTCATCTAGTGCATCCCACCATGCAAGATCAGCAGCTCAGCCGCTTAGAGCAGGTCAGAAGAGAAAAGTCAGTTCTCAAACAAAAGTAACTTACATGTTGAACTGTATCCTCTTGGGTACCTGTGACTTTCCTGCTCTTCTTCCAGATCCTTCTTTAGTCCATCTCAGCATCACCTTTGCTGCAGCATCAGCCAAGMACTCAAAACTACAAGTTCCTATGAAGAGTTTCAGCTTCCTTCACTGAACTTGTTCTCTCTGCACTACTATTCAGCATGTCCTACAGGAGCTCAGGGTTCTGCTGGCCCCCACCTCCCCAYTGGTTCCCCAGGACCTGGAACATCTCATTCCACTTCAGCATCACCCAGCACATTGGGTACTTTCTCCTTGCCTTAGGTTTTAAATGGCTGGGRACAATGCAGAGAGGAGGGACTAAAAACATCCAGGTATTACCCCAGTACACCAAACCCCACAGAGAAAAAAAGAGATTAAACTCCAGAAGGTTTTTTAAGCTGGTATTTTTATTAGAACTCTCTACATAAAGCACCTTTCCCTGCCTTAACCTCTCCGAACGCAGCTCTTCCTTAGCACACCACGAGATGCTCCGAACTATTCGGCGTTCCTGGATTTGGACACAGCCGCCCTCACCGCCTGCATGATGGCATCCTTGTCAATGCCAAACATCCTCAGCAGCTCAGCTGACTTCCCACTGCGGGGCACGTGGGACACAGCCAGGCGGCTGACGGTGACACCAGGCTCACCCACCACAGCAGCACACACAGCTTCACCAATGCCACCTGCAGAGAGAGGGCAGACACGGCACTGATTGACTGTCCAAGCAGGGAACATCCACACTGTGTGTGTGTGTGTCTGAGCAAAGGGTGCTGCAGCTTACAGCCTCCATTCCCAGGCTCAGGAAAACACCAATCACATGGGTCTGAGTTGGCCAAGTGCGAAATGAAAACCCTGCCCTGTATCAAAGGCATTCCGAGGACAAGCAGGCTGCCATTTCTGAAGTACTCACCCATCAGCAGCAGGACACACCTGCCTCTCAAGGGCACAGGACTGTCAGCAAGCTCTCACCACCTCTGCATCACCCACTGGGACSAGGTTTAAAAATACACTTAGACTGAAGAGCATTCACAAGTGTACTTAAYGTGTTGAAATTCCAACCAATCTCAGCAGCATTTGAGAGCTCCATCTTTTCACAGTGCATGTACGTGCCTCTGGGCACCTCTCTGCGTTATGTAATCACAACCTTTGCTCAGAGCTCAGCTCTGACTCACTATCAGTCACAGGGACAAAGGATGCAACAGGAATTGCATGGAGGCAGCAGAGACACTGGAAGCAGAAGTASTAGGGAAGAAGAAAACAGGACTTGTGTCAAAAGCATGTGCTGTGAGAGCTGGTAGAAGAGGCACCTTGCTGTTGTCCTTCAGCCACAGCATATCCAGGATCACAGGGCTGCCCACAACTCCAGGCATGGTGGGATTTAACCAAACTGAACCTTCAGCCAGAGGCACCTTTGTGGATACAGCTGGTGAGATCAGTGTGATGGGACCTGCAATGCACTCAGGTTCTGATGCACAGACACCTGGCCTGCCTGCACCAGAGAGCACCGTGCCAGCACAAACCCCTGTTCAGCACCTCAGGGTTAAGACTCTGCCATCTTGCAAGCCTGCAGTAAAATACTTGTCCAGAGTTGGATGCTAAGCTAGAAAATGAGGTTCAGTRGTCTATCACCATCCATAGTCTGGAGCAAAAGTATGGAGCATCTAGCACTTASGGTAGAAGTAGCTCACTTCAGGTACCTGGCAAGAGTGATGCTCACCTTAAATTAGGATAATATTCTCATAACTATATCTACTAATTTCTGTTAGAAGGTATCTATGATAGTGGAGAAGAAGAATTGAAGAATTTATCCCAGATCAACTGTGGAAACTGCCAAAGCTGTCTSATTTCAAACAATCTGGAGCCAAGCTTTTGGACACATGGAATACTTAAAAAACCTACACAGCAATGGTCTCTTGCAGTTTCACACCTGCAGAGCAGCGGCTGTACAGCCATTCAGGGAACAGTGTGCTGAACTCCTGCAGTGCAATAGGAATCTACAATTTCACTGAGCACAAATGAATCCAGACTTCACTTGAACCGAGCACATAAAGGGCACACAAGGCCAAATTAATTAGAAAGGCAGCCCTGATTAACCCATTACATTTTAGGAAACTTTCAATTGTCAGTGTCACCTTATAATCCTAACAGCAACAAAAAAGGCTGAAATCTGTCTTGCTTTAATAGAATGACATCATCATATCCCATATTCCTCTGTCAGGTCAGAAGTTGGGAGCTTCCAGCCCTGAGAGCTGTGACCTCAGACCCCACTCACCTTCATGGTAGTGGTCCTCAACAGTGATGATTCTCCCCTTGGTTGCTCTTGCACTTTCAAGTATTGTCTTCTTATCCAGGGGCTTAATGGTGAAGGGATCAATCACACGGATGTAGATTTTTTCTGCATAAATAAATGAAATTATTTGCAACAATGAATTGCAAYATGCAAGAGAACATGCATGCAATGTGCCAGTGGTACAGGCAATGGCTGTGATCTTCTGGACCTTTATGAAAACTGCCCACACGAACTCTCAGGTACCTGTACCTGCAGCTTATCTACCACAGAAACCAGCCAACCCTAATTTTTATATATATTCTTTCTCTGTGCATTTTGTGGAATAGTGGTTTTCATTCATTCACAGATATGATGGAAGGTGTGCGACTCAAGGTTACCAGGAGCACCCATCAGTAAAACACTCATCTAACTGGCTTTCCCCAGGTAAGAGCAGTCACAAAAAATCCTCCTAATTCAGACTGTCAATTGCAATTTTTTCTCCAGACCTTTATTTTACCTCTAACTTTATTGCCAAGTACTATTTCCACCTGATTCTTTGGTCTGTAGGCATTTTGAATTCTTTCTTCACTGCAAGCTGCCACCTCTCAGGTGTGCCTGTCTGAACTGCTCAGCACTACAGGGGCACCCTTAAGGTTGGCTGCCACCAAACCCAGAATGTGCCCAGCCTTCATAAGGCAGGCCCAGATGGCTCATCAAAGCTGCACACAAATGGCAATTGTTCATAAAGAATAGCAATTATGTGAGGTTGTCTCTGATCCTGGCTGGYTGAACACTGGGCAACTCCTACACAAGAAGAGGCCCTATTGTCAGTTTTGTGACTGAAGGCTCTTTAGTGGCCAATATATTTTGGGTATTAGACAATGCCTCTGCACTATGGGATTATCTCTCCAGAGGTGATTACTCACACTTCAAGATCAGCAGAGCATTGTAAAGCATGGTAAATGCAGGAAAATAATTATGGTTCTGAAAATACAACTTTCAAAATATTCTAAGCCTGGTGACTCAAGGTCATGACAAAGTATCAGTCCACCCAGATACTGCACACAAAGCTCCCCATAAGCCACAGGCAGCATTACTGTATTATCTCCTGCTGTTTGTAATCTCTTCCTGGGCACAGGCCCCTGACTCACAGATGGATTTTTGATGGTTTCTTTCTCTTATTTCATTGAAGGATTATTGCTGTGAGATGTCACTGGCTTGAGCACTCCCACAGAGCTGTGCTAGTTCAGAGCTGGTGCATACAAAGGAGCCCAGGTGAGCAGTGAGCCTGACCCAGGGCCAGGTGCCCACGGGCACACAGGTTGTGGTTTGGGACCTGGSCCCAGCCTGTTTGCAGCAATTGTGCTGTACCAGGCCCGCCCAGACCACTCCTGCTTCTCACACAGTGTCCCCAAGCCTCTGCCCACAGGGCACTATCACAGATTAGCAATTCTAAGGAGACCTTGATCTGATCCATTTGGCAATTTTTGTGGCTACTAATGCTGCTAAGCCAACTAAAAGCTCCTCCATTAGGCAAGGCTGGCAGCTACATGCTGTATTTTACTGTATCAGCTAACAGGTGACTGACTAACTGTCTGAACAGTATAATTAATGTTTACCAGTACAAAGGGTGAGCAGTTAGGCTGACTGATATTGATTTTTTTTCTATGTTAAATGACAAAAAGGAAAAAAGCCCCACCTTTTCTCAGCTGCTCTGCTGCAGCCAGAGCTTCATGCAGAGTGACTCCTGCTCCAATCACAGTCACTTGGTCATCCTTACTCTTCAAAATCACCTGCAAGAA